ACTCCACTCTGGAAAATGTCTAGAGTGCCACAGGACAGCAACAAATTGCACAAAAGTAGGACAAAATGCATAATAGGTCTAATATACAAGTGCAAGAAGTATGGGGAATAAAAAAGATGAGCTGGAAACTGCAGCCTGGAAACTATGACTAGATTAGTATCGCTCTTATGACTGGAATGTCAACATTGAGGGTTATGCTGTTTCAGAAGGACAGGTTTGGGAGAAAAGGGGATGGTGTTGCCTTTTATGTCAAAAACAAATGGAAGAATATGGCAAAGTAGAATGTATTTTGGAATTTATTACAGGCCACCAAATCAGGAAGTAGTGGTGGATGAGGCACTCTTCAAGCAGGTGACAAATCTGTGGGATAGTACTAACGGGAGACTTCAATTTTCCAGACATCTGCTGGAAAAAAAATAATACAGCCAAACATAAGATGTCAAGCAAGCTCCTGATCTGTGTGCAGGGCAACTTTCTGTTTCAGGATACAAGTAGGAGATCATCCAGCCTGGATCTTGTCCTAACTAATCGGGAAGAACTGGAGGATGTGAAGGCGATGGGCAACTTGGAAGGACATGATCATGTCCTTCCAGAATTCCACATCCTGAGGCACAGAAAGCAGAGTATAAAAGTTATAGAATAAAAAGTTATAGACAGACAGATTAAGGCTTTTATAATTTTAGAATCTATGTCAGAAAAGAATGTGTTGAGTGGAGTCCCTCAGGGATCTGTCCTGTGCCCAGTGCTGTTTGATGTAACTATTAATATTCTGGATACTGGAATAGAAAGTTTCTTGAGCAAATATGCAGAAAACAAAACTGGGAAGGATTGTAAAACACATTGGAGGATAGAGACACAATTCAGAAGGATCTCAACAGAGTGGCATGCTGGGCTGAAGATAACAGGATGAATTTCAAGGCCAAAAACTGCAAGGTGCTATACGTTGGAAAGAATAATAAAAAACACAAATATAAAATGGGTGACAGCACAACAGAAAAGGACTTGAGCATCTTGGTAGATCACAGACTCAGTACTAGCCTGCAGTGTGATGCAGCTGTACAAATTGTAGATGTGGTTTTGGGTTGAATCAACAGAAGCTTTAGGTATAAGACATGGGAGGTGATAGTGCCTTTTTACTTGGCACTGGTTAGGATTCATCTAGGGTACTGCGTTTTTAGGCTCCACATTTCAAAATGGACATGGAAAAAATGAGAGAGGGTTTTTAATCCAGAGGCAGGCAACAATGATAAAGAGCTTGGAAAGCAAGTCATACAAGCAGACACTGAAGGAGCTAAGCATGTTCAGCTTAAAGGAAAAGGTGCTCAAGAAAGGATATGATAGTAATTTTCAAATACCTGAAGGACTGCCATAAAGGAAGGGGAAAGCACCTTTTTTTCTCTTGCTGTAAAGAGTAGGATGCAAACCCAATGGCTTGACATTTCAAAGTAGAATTAGATGGGATATCAGGAAAAACTTCACTATTATAATAGTAAAACAGTGGAATAGACTGCCTAGCTAAGTTGTGGACTCACCATCATTGGAAGTGTTCAAGAAGAGGTTGTACAGCCACTCAGGGATGATACAGGTATAGCTATGCCTACGTTCTACTATGGGTATTTTCCAGGTTTCTGGGATTTGTTGGTTGCAGCATAAGGTGGGGAGGAAATCCTGCACACTCCCTCCCCTCCCCTCTTCTACCCCACTCCTGCCCGTTTTCTCCTGTGTGTGTCAGGTGTTGTGTTTTTTTGTGGGGGAGGGTTTATTTATTTATTTTCCTTTCTTTTTAAGGCTTCCTCATAGACACCGAGTGCTGGCTGCAGCAAAAGCTGAGATTTTGACTGCGGTATACCAATGCTCCTGCTGGGACTTAAACCTGGAGGTCTTACCTTTCTGCTCAGGGTCAAATTGATCACCATATTTGGGGTCAGGAAATAATTTTACTCCATGGACAGACTGATAATAACCAGTCAGGTTTTTTGCCTTCATCTGTAGCAGGGGTCGTAGCCCACTCCCTGCAATCTCTTGAGTGCACCTTTTACAGAAGCAGGATGTTAACTGCCATGGTCCTCTTGGCTTTACCTGTGGCAGGTTAGTGTGTTATGGCTCACGTTGTGTCAGGCTGACCATAGTTTTACTAAGAGTTTTTGGATAAGAATGGAACTGGGTTTGGATAAAGATGATCCTGCCTCAGGCAAGGGGTTAGACTAGATGACTTAAAGATAGAGGTCCTTTCCATCCCTGTTTCTCCATGATTTCTATGATTTATATGAACATCTTCTTAATGCAACCAGATCAGTAGGTATCAGGCAAAGGTCCTGCTTTGTCTATATTTCATGCTGGGTAACGCAAGAAAGTTTTTAATCCATTTATGCTGTTAGATTTATTATAATAATGAACTGAATACAGATCAGGCACACAAAATAGATGCAAATAGGGTGAAATTAAGTCAGGAAATAGACGAACATCCTGGTAGAGTCATAGTGAGAGTCCCCTCACTAAATCAAGAATTATTAACAACAAGAGAGCAGGGAAGTAATGTTACTGCAAGTGCCATGACAGTCTTGGAAGCCAAGGGAACCTTGCCATTAGAGAAAACAATCTACCATTGGTATCTGAAGACTAAGGCAAAAAGTCATTCACCTGAACAGTCACACTCATCGAATAGCCTAGGTACATCCTTCCCTTTAGAGATCTAAAACTATGGAAGGCACATTTTTTTAAAATGTATTTATTCATTTATTTTATTTTTTTTTTTTTACAAAGGACAAAAATTCAAGTATCTTGACACACATGAAGAAAGTAAGGTTGGTAAGGTTGGAGTTTGACTGGTCAAAGATTAAACTAATTTTATGAAAAAAACTACATTTTGTAGTTTTCTTGACAAAAATATGATTTTTTTTTACTGTTTTTGGACACAATTATTAATAGAAAATTCGTGCATGTTCTGTGTATTATTTGGACCTATTGGTAATTTTTTTTTACAATTTTTAACTGACATCTGACTGATCAACTACCCAACCCTAAAAGGAAGCATATTATAGGTCTTAAAAGAGAACTATTAGAGCACCTATGATGTTTTCCCAAGGTAAAAGGGGAAATAACTAGTACCCATAATAATTTAACTAGTATGGTTAATACTCAAAATACAAGTGTAATACATTTTCATACTTTGATAAAGCACAGGTACTTTCATAAACCATGCGATACCACCATTTATGCAAAAAGTATAATATACAGAAAAATGAATAACCCCTTCAGTTATAGGCATGTTATCTAAAGTATAAGAAAACCCATCTGAAAATCATTTAAATATATCCTTGTTGATAAGTAGTAGTAATATTTACCAGCTGAAACTGAAAATTAAAAAAAGTATAATAAGTATAGACAGGCAGGAATACAGAGACCACTTTCTCAAGTTTTTCCATCAAGAGAAATGAAGCAGGTTAAACAAGGGTCCCTGATAAGGGCTGCACAGGGCAACAGACATATAACTGTATTAGCATTACATACTATCATAACAAGAAACCTCCAAAACTTAATTAATTTAGAAAAATGATTAACCGCAACAGAACACATAGACAATATTGCCTTTTTGCTCAGACTTCTTTCTACAGGAATTTGACACTGCTGAGAAGTCATCAATTTCTAACTTTATACTCAGTCAGTTTAAATTAGTCATGCTATGTTTTCATATATAAAAGGAACTCTTAATTGAGAAATTAAATGCAAGTCTTCTGCAGCTCAGATTGAGATGTACAAAATTTTATGCTGTACGCTGAGGCGGTAAAGTGGAATTTATCTTTTCTGGCATCCAGTACTAGTGTTGCGTAAAGAATTTAAAAAGACAAAAGAAAAGAATAATTTTTCTTTAATTAATCCTATTTTTATTAAAATGATTATATGATAAGCTTTTCAAAGCTGCTGAATTAAATGGTACTGAAAAGGTACTAAATTATTTGTAGTTGACTTAAGATAAAAAAGGACAAGAAGATTAAAATAATATGAGCACTGTTAATGAAAAATAAGAATAAAAATGTTTAATCTATTTTGGTACAATGTACATAGACTATATGCTAGGGCAGTGGTTTTCAAGCTTTTTTCATTTGCAGACTCCTAAAACAATTTTGAATGGAGGTGTGGACCCCTTTAAATTGTAAGTGTTGGTATTCACGTTCATTTGATTGAACACAGCCATCTTCTGCAGATCCCTTAGACACAGTTTGCAGATGCCCACAGGTCCACAGATGATAGGTTAAAACTCACTGTGCTAGACTATCATTTAAATGGTTTTCTAAAGAGTTCCTGTCTTACTTTTAGAGATCTAAGCAATAAATGTTACAAGAACAAACATTTCCAAAAATTAACCTACTGCTGCCTTAGACCCCCCTCTACACATTACAGGTATCATGCAATTAACTGGTTAATTGCACAATTACATTAAGACCAGCTACATGTACAAAGTAACTGTCATATGATAAAAAGTTCCAATCAGCTACAAAGTTAGACCTCGGAAATGTGTATTAATTTTATAGCTGGTTGTTATTGAGCTTTAATTTGCATGTATAGCAAGGAGTCTCATGTGGCTTGAAGCCCTGTCAGCTGACAAGGGCTCCCAGCCACAGGGGTGCATCATGCCCAGTATGAAACCATAAGCCCTGGGAATTGTGGCTGCCATGATACCCAAGGGTCAGGGGCATGTGAAACCCCAACCCACATGGGGCTCTCAGGCCTGACTGTACCTCATGCAATAAAGGTGCGATTGGATCTAATGTGCAATCCCATAATTGCATCTTCTGCCCTGCATATGTAGCATGATAGGAAATGCAATTGTGTGGATCATGCATTAGATCCAGTTGTGCCTTTACCTGCACATGAAGAGTGGACCTTAGAGTACATACAACAGAATACTATACATATAAAGTTAACCTTATTTCAAAAATAAAGCGTCAGTTCTTAACTATAGATACTGAAATAGAAAAATTTGATTTAATAATACAAACCTTTACTGGCTTTGTCTAAATGCTGGAAATCTTCAACAAAATTCAGAACATCTGGATACCTTTCTTCACAAACATCAACCAAAAAATGGAGCAATGTTGTTTTCTGATCTGCTGATTTAGTGTCCTTTAACTAGAGAAAGAAAAAAAATGTTGGGAATAAGAATGCTTCTAAATATTTTTATAGCCCATGTGCATTGAAACTGTATTTGAATGTAGAATCCAGAAGAATACAGTTGGAAGGGACTTCAAGAGATTATTAAAGCCAGACCTGCTCAAAACAGTTTAATTCATGTCCAAACCACTCCTGAAAAACATTTATCAAATCCCTATTAAAAAAAATTCCAGCAATAGAAATTCCACAACCTGTCTAAATAACTGCCCCTTTTCTTAATTACCCTTATAATTAGAAAGTCCTCCCTCACACCATGGCCTCAATCTCCCATATTGCAACTTAAACCCATTACTTCTGGTTCTGTCCCTGTAGACAGAGAACAAATCTACATATATACACACATACATACGTGTGCGTGTATATATAAATATGAAGCAAAGAGGGAGCATTTAATATGTTTCCATACATATATATAAAACATATTAACTGCTCCCTCTGCCTTCTCTTTGCTAAATTAGATCATCCCAGTTCTTGAAACTTTTCCCCACATATCTTGCTTTCTAGAAATCTATTGAGGTCTCTCATCTAAACCAATTTCACTTTGTCTACATCTTTCTTAAAGGTGATCTGCCCAGTGGAACCTATTGTAGTTACAGCCTCACCAGAGCTGAATAGAGTGAAGAATTACTTCTTGTGACTTTTGTGCCCTTATTTAAAACAAGCAAGTATGCTATTAGCTTTTCTGCAACAATATTAGACTTTTGACTCAAAATCAGCATATCAACTTTAACCTCCCCCAAATCTATTTCTGTAGTCCTGTTCCCTAGAGCCAGTCACGCCAACCGACAAAAGACAAATCAGTTAAACTGATGCAGCTCTTTAAAGCAAATCTGAACATAATCAATAGGCTGTTTTGGATTTTTATTGTTAATTAAAATTCTTCATAGATTGACTTTAATATAGATCACTTTCAACCTTATCTACTGAGTATTTAATTTTTATTTAGATAAAACTAAAGTAGCGTGCTAATTTTCATATTTAAAACATAAGCACTCTTAGTAAAATGCCTACAATACTGTAAAAGATTAGATTTATTAAGCAAGTAACTGGTAAACAACCTTTTTTGTTGGAAAAGGAAAAAAGGAAGGAAAATAAGATGTTCTAGCAACAAGCTTGAATTCAGTTCCAGTCTTAAAAAAATTAATCATGCAATTGAAATGCAGGTGAACCCTGACTATTTACACCAATATATCAACACCTAGAGCTGCTTTATGTGAAAAAATCTGCTTTTAAAACAACTCTGAAAAGTATGTGAATTTGTTTCCAAATACTGTGTATTGATCCAACTGAAAGTGCCATTGACGCCTTAAGAAAGTGTCCTTGAATACTCCTGAATTGTATTCCCTAGAGATTCCACAAGATTCACTTAAAATATATATTCCAGTTTTCAAAATATTACTAGTTTCAAAGACATTCTATATTCTAAAACTCAGGATATTACTGGAACCAGAATAAAATTTAAGTATAGCACAGTATACAGAACATGTTGGTCTGAAAATATTCTTAAAGAATAACAATACAATTCATATAAAAATGATATTCAAGCCTGAACTGACATCAAGGAAAATCTTAAATAATTCTAAATTATGCCTCATACAAACATTCAGTTTCTGCTGGTAGAGTTACTGCTCTCCCAGGAGAAACCGTAGTAGATAGATGTTCAAGGGTTTTTCTCTCAGAGTCAACATGGTGAATTCGGGAGAAAAATTGCTTGAGTAACAACCACATTTAAATCACTCCTTGGAGAGTTTCTTCTGTACATTCTGTGCTTCTCCCCACACTCTCCAGGAGACAGCATGTCACTCTCAGGACTCTGTTGTTCCAGCAGAGAGCAGAACATGCCCCCTTTGCAATCCCAACATTGTGATGCCAGAAACTCAGGCTGACCATGGGTATTCTGTACCAGCCAATCAGTGCTGCCCCATGAACTGCTGCTTTGATTTAGTCTGTTAAGTGCCACTCTAAACTATCTTGTGGGTGCGTGCGCCAGCATGCATGCACACACATACGTATGTACCTATTTAAATAAGGAAGGATATCACTAAAGGTACTATAATAAAATGCCTGGTGCCCAGGTGACTTTCAGAAGCAGTAAAAACAATAGCATTCAATTTTAAAAAGTTTGCTGCAGAGGCTCAACAGCATTGTAGTTGTCAACCCCAGTGTCTGACAACTACTGGCCCTCTCCTGATGAATCTAAGACCAGAAACTGGCAATATGTACTTTATCTCAAAGCTTTAAAATGGATAATAATAATTGTAGTTTTGTGAAAGAAAGTCCATTTCTGAAAAAAGAAAAACAGACTATTCTTTTGAGCTCATCTAAAGTGACCAAAAAGCAAGAGCATTCTTGGTAGCAGCCCCACAATTCAGGAATTTGCTCCCATTAGACATAAAGATGCAAACTTCATATTATTTAGGAAGCCCTACAAGACACAAGCTACCCACCCATGGTGAGCCAGAAATTTCTCTATTTTACTATTTCAAGGTCAATTCCCATGGATATTGAAATACACATCCATGTGTTCAAAAGTTTTTTTCATTTATTTACTCTCTCCTGACTCATTTCCAAACCCAGTTCAACTGAAGTAGAACAGCTCCATTGCCTCCAGACAAGTTTAGAGTTTACAAAATATATAACTATATGATAAAAAAAAAAAATATTTGATACACTCATGTTTCCAGTGCTGGTATATTTTTAAACTGACTAACGCAGTTTATATTTACATCTAGATAGATAGATAAGGATATTAAAAGAGTTATTTTTATTGAGAGCTCCAATTCAGTAGTCGTTTATTGTGTATTACTAGTATACTGTGATGACCCCAAAATGGTTTTGATTGTTGCAAATGTCATCTCTTCTTTTTAAATGAGGTAATTCAGTCACACATTTTGATCATCTCAATTGTCAAAAATATATTCAGGTAAAGATACTTTATGTTTATCATCAACAGTTTCAAACTTGATGATTGAAAACAAGCTGCATTTTCTCACAGATTATAAAATACCTGCTTCAGTAATAGGCCTCCATCAAAGACATCCCATTCATGGAAACATGAATACAGAGACTTTTTAAAACCTAATTAGATATGTTAACCTATTAAGCATTTATGGCATCTCATCTTTAAATCTAAGTAACCTCTGAGATGGGTCCAAGCCTTGTGGTTATGAACATATTAATATTTATAAGGAATATATGATCATCAGCAGCTCATTATAGTGTAACAATTGTACATAATACTTAAACATATTAGAACTAGCACAATTTTTAGTTGTTTTTTCATAAATAATCACTTGGGCTAAAATACGCCATATCTGATCTTGGTTTAAAAGGGAATTATTTTAAAAATAAAATCAGGTTCCTGTCTCTCTAACCAATTACTATAGTCAGTCATACCATCAGCAATGTTGAAGAATATTTTTCACACTAACTAAATAAAGAAACATTTTTGAGCACAGGTAAGTAATATAAATTCTTGACCTTTAAGATGTGCAAACTTGTAGATGACTAGTTCTAAGGAATGGTTTCTGGGCTAATGAAAACACTAACAG